TTTAATAATATAACATTTTATAAAGATAATAATTAAGTATTCTGTTAGAACTCAATGATTATCCTAATTATATTTTAGATTTTTTATATTTAAAATGAAATGTTTATCCTGTATTTGATTGTGTTTATCTGCAGTTAGTTACACGAATTCAGATATGGATCTTTAATAAGTTGTACCTACGCACAATTTACTTGTAATCTTGAGTTTTAAGTAATATRCATTAATAAACAGTATTTTTCGCATAAAAAGTGGTTTTTAAGAGTTTTTTTGTTAAATGATTTATACTATAAAATATATTTTTTATATATAATTTAATTTAAGTTTAATAATTAAACAATTTATTTTTTGTTTAATATTATAAATTTTATAAAGATAATAATTAAGTATTCTGTTAGAATTTAATGATTATACTAATTATGTTTTAGATTTTTTATATTTAAAATGAGATGTTTATCCTGTATTTGATTGTGTTTATCTGCACTTAGTTACACGAATTCAGATATGGGATAAAATCGGATAGGGATGAAATCGTTTAGGGATGAACGGGTTTAAGAAGAGTTTTAAGAATTTTTAAGAGTTTTAACCAAATGTTTTATAAAATAGTATAGATAATTACAATTAGTTAAAGAAATTATATAATTAAATTTTATTTATAAGAAAAATGTTTAGAGTTGGTGGTTTAAATCCCCAAAAGAGAGTCTATAATTCATATCTTTTATATATGACAAATTGTATGAAAAATTAACGTTTAATTTGGTTCTTATTTTTGGTAATATATTTTCAAAACTTTCATTTTGATATATAAGCTGTAAAATTTTAAACATATAAGTATTCGGGTAACCGGTTGAAGCATTAACCGTTTACCATGTTGACATAGCGTGTGATGAGATGAAATTGGGTTGAATCGCAAAGAATACTGAGTTGGATACCACATCAGCATGGTAACCGGTTACCCGGGTACTTAAATGTTTAAAATTTTACATCTTAGGTACCAAAATTGAAATTTTGAAAATACATTACCCAAAATATGAATCAAGTTAATGTACGTTACTTTTTAATGCAATTTACCCTTTTATATATCAGTATATTTTATGTTTTTTAGTTGAAAAGAAAATTAATTATTATAGAAGGTTTTACGTAACTTATTATTTTATATAATATTTTTAAATATAATTCTTTTTAGGTCCATTAGCCCATTGGCAAACCCATATTGTTTATTAGGATGGGTATGGGTAACTTCAAGTCCTTAAAAACAGGTTTGACTTTGCGATATTAAGCCCGTTGAACAAGAAAAATATGTTAGACCCAACTTTGGTCTGAATCAAGCCCATAAATCACCACTTCTAACTTGAAAGGTAGCTTTTTTGACTCGTCTTGTAGCAAACCTTGAACTCGATTTTTTTGGGTGGCTTTCAATGAGATGTGACCATGTGAAGTTAATGGAAGGCTTTAGGCGTTGAGATTACTGGATTATGAGGCGTAGCATCAGATGTCGTAGCGATTGAATAAGGTTTTATTTTAAGGTGATTTTAAATGTCCCCTATATTTTATTTAAACATTTTTTCCAACTATTTTCTCAGTCTCGTGTATCAATATCAAGAGGTTCACCTTTTACATTTACAAATCCCTGATTTGACATAAAAACGGACACCATTTTCTTATTGTAAATCTAAGTCTAAATCTAACGAGGTTTTTATCTAGAATAGCCCTTTTTTTTTCTTGTACGTTTACTCAATATTACATAGAAAGTACCAAATATGATTACAATACCAGATAGATAAGCTCCTCATAAAGCTATAAACATTCCCATAGTTACAAACGTTTGATATTATATAATAAAATGGCAATAAAAACAAAATAATGTATCAGAGCAGATAAAAAAAGACTAGATGTATTTATAATTGGTTAAGAATTATTAAATACAGTTTGACCATTTTTGATATAGTCCTACAAATTATGACAGAGAAGTCAAAAGGTAATTTTGAATTGCACAAAAGGTTTTTTCGTTGTGTTATGTACCTCGTCAAAAGTATGTCGGTTTTCGATAAAAGACATCGTATTTAATTGTATGTCTATCTTTAGTTTCACACCATTATAAACTGAACATGGTACGTAGCTGCAACAATAAAAGGAATTGGCGTCGACTCCAATCAACACATTCACAAGAATTATAGGGGGGAAGAAAAATTGAAGTCCATGGAAGTCTCGGTTTCTTCCACACAAAAACAGTCGAGAATTGATGCAACCAAAAGGTGTTTTGACGAGAAGAGAGCAAGGCTGTATATAATACGCAAATGCATCTACAAGTTACTTTGCTGGAGAGAACAGAGGGATTAGCGATATTGACTTCATTCATAAGCCATGCTACAATCTTTAATCACTTTGAATATTACGCATAAGGTTAGGGGGGCGTTTGGTTTCATCATTCGGTGGAATTATTTTGAGAAATTTGGATTTCGTGGAAGGATTTGGAATCTTTCATCTGTTTGGTTTATAAGATTAGGAACGGATTGAGTTCCATTCTTTATATATAATTTATAAAAACAAATTGTAAACAGTTAAATTACCTTTTATTAACTGATTGTTACAAAATAAATGTTTTTAACATATTTTAAAACATTATTATAAATAAATCTTGTGAAATACCAACTATGCATGGGATTTTAATATCAAATGTTTGTGGGGTTCTCATTGAAATCTCTAGATTTCAATTTCGGACTTTCGCTTTCCTTTAAATCAACCGTAGGATTGAAATGAAACCTAATTTCAAATCTCGCAAACCAAACAACTGTTAAGTAATTGTATTTATCTATCTTTGGAGTCTATACACAACTATCATAGCTTCAGCCAAACATGTTATGGGAAATTATTTTCAACGTTAGTTGTATTAAAACTATGTAAATTTATAATTCCAATACACTTTAAAAACATTTAAAATAAAATAATAATACATTTAATCTCATTGGTGAAAATAATTAAAATAACATTTATATCTCCTCGATATTGAGTTTTATTAAAACTGGAGATTTACAGCTTATCTCTCTTGTTTTGTCTATTTTAAAGATTATTTTAGAGTAGCTGTTAGTGTAAAATAATGTCCAAAAACTCTATTTTAAAGTAGTTGTTGAAGATGCTCGAATACAACAATAGTACAAACCAGTTGGATACTTTCATTAGAGAGTGGAAAATCGCCTCAATTTTATATGATGAACGTCTTGTTTGGTTCAAGGATATGTGGTGGTGAAAATCGACTCAATTTTATATGATGAACGTCTTATTTGGTTGAAGGATATATGGTGGTGACATATTCAGACACCAAAAAAAACTTATATGCCATGATTAGCTAAAGTTATAGAAAAATTTCAGGGACAATTGATTTACATAAATGATTAATTTGAATAAATTGGAATGATCAATTTTGTTGATCAAATATCATTCTAGTGTTTGGTTTAATTATGAAACCGAATTAAACTCTACACATTCCATTCTTTATGAATTTGGCCATTTTATCACAAAGGAGAACATGAATTGAATTACATTCCATCTCTCTCTCTCTCTCTCTCTCTATATATATATATATATATATATATATATATCTATATATAAGATATTATACATAAGTATATAGGACGGTAATCAAATGAGAACCGTAAAAATGTTGACGACCATGAAGACTAATCTCAATCGTTAAAGAGTTCTAATCGATGGTTATTAAACATAGTGACATTTTTGTAATATTAGTGAAACTTGTGTCTAATCTCACATCTAATTTAAAGAATGAAAGAGCATATTATGGTTTTTGTTACAACCCACCTTCTTTGACTTTTACTCCATGTTAGTGGTGGTCTATAGTGGTTTAAATATCGACTATGGTTCAGATGGCAGTGATCAACGGTGGTTCAGATAGGTGGTGGTGGTCGATGATAATTCAAATCGACGATGGTTGATGATAGTCATATTGGTTTTTATGGGATTAGGGTAAATAGGGTTAAAGACATATTTGGTATTATGAAAATAGATAATTAAATTCATTCAAAATATCATGTAGTTACTAAGTAATATTAAATTCATTTACTCGTGGAATTTATAAGATTTTAAAATTTCTTTCGGGAAAATACCAACCAAAAGCAACCTTAAAATCAAAATAAGCAATGATCGATATTCTATTACTCGGTAAACATTGTTAAAATCGAAGCATTGATACTGATTCCATGGCATCAAGATCATACCAATCCATATCGAACCCAGTGGTTCAACTTTGAGCACGGCTTCCAATTTCCCAGAAGGGATATCTCTGCCCATTTGTGACGGTACCAAGGTTGGACTTTCAACACCTCTTCTTGTTTGATTCCTACAAATTCTTCTTAGACTTTACGCTTTGGCACACAATTCTTTCTCACTTTTCACCAAATTAAACCCTTTTCCGGTGCTTTCAGTTTGCACCTCTAACTCTTTCTATACGCAGTCTTGATTTCTATCTTGTTTGGATGAAAAATTGAGAGCAACTGATACGAAGATGAGGTTGCTGAAGGTGGCTACGTGCAATTTGAATCAATGGGCAATGGATTTCGATTGCAATTTGAAGAACATTAAGGAATCGATAATTAGGGCTAAAGAAGCTGGTGCTGTTATTAGGCTTGGTCCAGAACTCGAAATCACTGGCTATGGATGTGAAGATCATTTCTTGGAACTCGACACCGTCGCTCACGCGTAAGATTACTTTACATTCTTAAAAATTTCGTTGAATATGTGTGTGAATGTGCTTTTACCTTTTTTCTTGTAAGATTACAATCGGGTTGAATTGAATCATATGTAGTTTGATAATGAACACTGGTTTTGTTTTCATTTATGCAATAAACCAGCCAAAGATAACGAAACCAACCTGTCATTTAGGGGATGTTTGGTTGGTTTTCCATTAATACCTGCATGAATAAAGTTGTCTGTGTGGATTGATCTGTGAGTGGGTAGGTTTTTATATGGGTGGGCTTTCTCATAGATGGAATGACTGTGGTTTTAATTGGGACGGGCAGGTTTGCTGAGAACTTGACTTTCTGCATAAAGCTACCTCTATAAGTTTACCAAGAGTTATTAGAGCTCTTTATCCCATTTAGATGGAATCATGAAATTTATTTGCAAAGATACAGGTGTGGGGATATATAAATAACAGGATTAGGAGATTCTAAAAAGTTTAGGATTCAGGGGTTTGTGTATATCTGTGTGTGTATATATATAGACTCAGGTTCAAGGGAAAATCACGAAAAATGGAAAGCCGAGGAACACCCTAATAACTATTCATTTGTTTGATATTCACGTGTGCATACCGGACAAATTACTTTTATGCCAACGTGCGTAACTAACAGATGAATGGTTTATTAGGTGTTCCTCAATGTTCCAATTTTTTGTGGTTTTCCCTTGAGCCAGAGTCTATATACATTAAAGATAAAGATAAGCACACGAAAACCTAAGTCTGATCATGATTTTTGAGATGTATCAATATTAGTTCAAACTACCAGAAAAATAACTAATTTTTCTTGCTTTTCTCTTTCGGGATCATAAAACTCAAGTTTGTTTTCTATTTTAGTCTTTGTTTCTAGTTTTACAAATTGTGAATTTTCACTGGCACCTGCATCTTTGTTTACAATAGTCTATGATTTAGTGGCATCATATTATTCTCTGCAGGTGGGAGTGCTTAAAGGACTTGTTGCTTGGTGATTGGACAGATGGGATATTATGCAGTTTTGGTATGCCGGTCATCAAAGGGTCGGAGCGCTACAACTGTCAAGTGATTTGCCTCAACCGAAAGATAATCATGATAAGAGCAAAGATGTGGCTTGCAAATGATGGAAACTATAGAGAACTTAGGTGGTTTACGGCATGGAAACAAAAGGACCAACTTCAGGAATTCCAACTGCCAAGTGATATTTCCGAGGCTTTGCAACAGAAAAAAGTGCCTTTTGGCTATGGATTCATGCAGTTTTTGGACACGTAAGTTAACCATTAATCTTTTGTTTGTTTTATTTAAAAGAATTATAGTATTTTGGCTAATTGTGATTGAACATTTCTTGTGATCATCAGAGCAGTTGCAGCAGAAGTTTGTGAAGAGCTATTTTCTCCGATTCCTCCTCACACGGAGCTTGCACTAAATGGTGTTGAAGTTTTTATGAATGCTAGCGGAAGTCATCACCAACTAAGAAAGCTTGACATTCGTATGCGTGCCTTTATTGGTGCTACACATACTCGTGGAGGAGTGTATATGTATAGTAATCATCAGGGATGTGATGGTGGCCGCCTTTATTACGGTAAGTAGTCTGCTTTCGATCCCATTTAAGCTTTATTTCCATCATTTCATATGATATGCCTTAATGGTCGAGAGTTTTAAAGATTCTTTATATATATTGCAGATGGATGTGCATGTGTTGTTGCAAATGGAGATGTAGTTGCACAAGGGTCACAGTTCTCTTTAAAGGATGTGGAGGTGGTGGTTGCACAAATAGATCTAGATGCGGTATGGTTTTATGTTTGCTGTTTGAATAAGCTGTTTTAAATGTATGTTTGCTTATATATATATATATATATATATGTATGTTATTTTGTTAAAGTTCAAGATTCTTGTGTTATTTAGAGCATTCTTGCACATTTGAAGTTCTAACAACTCTGCTGATCTGCTTTATGGAAGGTTGCTAGTCTTAGAGGATCTATAAGCAGTTTCCAAGAGCAAGCAAGTTGTAAACAACTTGTTTCCTCAGTAGACGTGCCTTACAAGCTGTGTAATCCCTTTAACCTCCAGATGTCTCTTTCAAGTCCGTTGAAGGTCAGTTACCTTGTTCACAATTGTGTTCAACCACATATCTGTGTATATATATATATATATATGGAGAGAGAGAGTGTGTGTGTGTGAGAGAGAGAGTGAGAGTGAGGTTTAGGGAAACCTCAAAAAAATGAAAAGCGAAGGAAAACCCTAATAATTGTTCATCTGTATGTGCATACTAATAATTAAAGATGTTTCGTGATTTCTATGCATGTGTGCATGTTATGCATATGTGCTTACCAAACAACTTGCTTACAAATTACTTATTTGTATGCACGTGTGCATGTTATGCACATGTGCATACTGTCCAGATGGATGGGTAGCCAGGTGTTCCTCACTTTTTCATTTTTTGGGGGGTTTTCCCTTGAATCTCCCTCTCTCTCTCTGTGTGTGTGTGTATATATATATATATGTCATTCTCCCATCATTTGGCAAATTTTGTGGCTGCATGAGTTATAACTTTGACACACCAGAAATTCATGGTCATATTCAGCCAACTTTGTTTAGTTTACTGCTACTGTAATGTGGCAGATTTTTTATCACTCTCCTGAGGAGGAAATAGCATTTGGACCTGGTTGCTGGCTCTGGGATTACTTAAGAAGAAGTGGGGCTTCTGGTTTTCTACTTCCGCTCTCCGGTGGGGCTGATAGCTCTTCAGTAGCTGGTATTGTTGGATGCATGTGCCAGCTTGTTGTAAAAGGTTAGATTTTTAATTCCATTTTCAAGAACACTTCAAATTATAAAGATCGGTGGTTCAATTTTTACATTGCATGGTGCTGAATGTGGCCATGCAGAGATTGCAAATGGAGATGAACAAGTTAAGTCGGATGCTATAAGAATCGGGCATTATACCAATGGACAATTTCCTATTGACAGCAAAGAATTTGCAAAACGTGTATTCTACACGGTTTTCATGGGATCGGAAAACAGGTAAGTCTATTTCTATATGGATTTAACATTCAGTTTTTCTAATATGTGCCTAATATGAGTAATGAGGCTTTTGTCTCAAAACAGTTCTGATGAAACGAGGAGACGCGCAAAGGTGCTTGCAGACGAGATTGGATCATGGCATCTTGATGTTTCTATAGACACTGTGGTGTCTGCGTTTCTATCTTTATTTCAAACACTTACGGGAAAACGTCCTCGCTACAAGGTAAATTAATTTGGTTTTTCATTAAGTCCATATGGGTAAAGTTGTGTGTGTGAATTAATTTGTCTGTATAGATTTAGAAGTTTTTTATTTGTGATGGTTTTTTTAATAGATGAACAGAGCGTGTTTTTTATTAGGAGGGGGAGGTTTCGGAAAACTTGGCTTTCTAGAAGCTCACTGAATAAGCCATTTTCTTTATCATCAAGCCACTACCAAACAATCATGTATAGCTGAACGAATAAGCTGTGAGTCCTATTAAGCTCATTAAGCTTCTAAGAAACATGCCCTTAGACATATACATATCGACGTTCTATAAAGCCGATTTTGTTGTAGTGATATACTCTTGTTTTGAGCCATTTCTTCTTTACCTGCTGTGTCATAGTGACATCCACGTGATCATATCTTAAATTTTGTTAATTCTTTTTTCTCACAGGTAGACGGGGGATCAAACATCGAAAATTTAGGGCTGCAGAATATACAAGCTCGAATTAGAATGGTGCTGGCATTTATGCTAGCATCGTTATTGCCATGGGTTCATAGCAAACCGGGGTTTTATCTTGTGTTGGGCAGCTCCAATGTGGACGAGGGATTACGTGGTTACCTAACGAAGGTATTTCATCACCCATTTTAACTGTTAGTCAAATTTCGGGTGATGTTCATATACTAGTCGAAATTTAGGCTATACATGTGTTCCTAGAATAGATACTCTTGCAATGTAAGACTTCCACGGCACCTAAACTGCGTCAATTTGGGAGACATTTGTTTTATACGGTTTGGTCGTGTGTTTTTAACCTCTTTTTTTTGCTTTTTTGTAGTATGACTGCAGTTCTGCAGACATAAATCCGATCGGAAGTATTAGTAAGCAGGATCTTCGAATATTTTTGCGATGGGCTGCCACCCATCTTGGTTTCTCGTCTTTAGCAGAGATTGAAGCCGCTCCCCCAACAGCGGAGCTGGAGCCTATACGTTCAAATTACAGTCAGGTATTTTACTTATTTATCGAAGATGATAATGAGCTTTATCAATTAACAACTAGGTTATCAGCCGATTTGCCAAACATAGCCTTACATCATTCATTTGGATTGACTTGTACCAATATGTAATCTGAGTCTGATGCTTTTTACATGAATCAGCTGGATGAAGTGGACATGGGAATGACATATAACGAACTTTCAGTTTACGGAAGGTTGAGGAAGATTTTCCGATGTGGCCCCGTGTCTATGTTCAAGGTTTGTCTTCGATATCCACCAATGTCTTTACCTCATACAAGATATATACGATTTCCCATTTAACCGAACCACCTCATTCATCAGAATCTCTGTTTCGGTTGGGGTTCAAAATTAAGTCCTTCTGAGGTAGCTGATAAAGTGAAGCATTTCTTCAAATACTATTCCTTCAATCGACACAAGATGACTGTATTAACACCCTCATATCATGCCGAGGTATTATTCCATCTTCTTTTTTTCCGTCTTTAACGCATGTGCTAACTTACACCATCCGTGTACAGAGCTATTCGCCAGAAGATAATAGGTTTGATCTGCGGCAGTTCCTGTATAACTCGAGGTGGCCATATCAGTTTCGCAAAATAGATGAGCTTGTGGAGGAGCTTAGCGTTGGTGAAGACGTTTCTACAGCAAATGGTGTCGGAATTGTTGCGGCTGGTTCGGCCGATCCCAAGGCGGGTCTTTAGCTACATTCAATTATCAACCTGTTGGGAAACTGTAACTTATTTGCATATATTTATATTAGGTTTATGAATAAGGTTAAACACTGGATTAAGCCACTGTGATGAAGCTAATTGCTTCATGGTTACCAGTGTGCAAACATATATTTTCTTGTTTTAGAGAACATTGTGCCATGTGGTATTTTGGCAAATAGGAAAAGGAGTTTCGTTAATGGTGAACATGGAAGGTTTCAGAGACCTATCTACAAAAAAAATTATCTACATTTACTTTTTTACATTTTCAATGTATGATTTTACTTGATTTTAATATAAATAACATCCGTTAATCGGAGGTTTTATGGGTGTTTATGTACTTCGTATAATGCTTTTTTTAGTGTTGCTTATTATGTGTTAGACCATCCACAAACCAGTTCATTTATACTTTTAATGATGCCATATCAGTTTTTGTAATTATCATCTATACATCTATAATTTACTTACATTTTTAAAAGTGGTCCTCATTATAACATTCTAATTATTTTTTAGTTAATAAATACTTGATATATAACTCTTTATTTTAATTTAATAATAATATAATTTATAATTTGATTAATAAAATAATTATTAAGATATAGAAATCTTAATTGTAAATTTTAATGTTTTATTTTGTTTAACTATATTGTATGTATATTAATTAAAATATGGATATTAATGTTTTAATGTGTAATTTAAGTTTACATTTTTTATTTTAATCATCAATCAAATAAATATTTGTTAAACAAAATGATTTTTTAAGTGATGAAATAATGCATTAAATAATAAATAACATAACATAATTAATCAATAAATATTTTATAAAAAGCTCGTCAAAGTCTAGGCGGTATTGCAAATTTTTGCAACATCTTTGGCCTTTGGATTTGTTATTATCAGCTTAATGAATCGGTTAGTTATACATGACTGTTTGGTAGCTGGCTGGCTTAAAAATATAGATAATGACTTTACCTATACATGATTTAATGGAAAATCAATCAAACAACCCTTTAGTCACGATTATTCTTCTTGTCCTTTGTCCTTCTAAGCGCTCGCATTAAGTAGTATATGGATCGAGTTAACAGCTACGGAGAATATGTACAAAGCGAGGCTTAATTTGTAAAGTAGGAGATTGAGTGGTTATTCTAATCTCCGAAACAGCACCAGCCAAAAGACAAACCTAAAATGGAATGAAACTTAAAATTTCTCGTTTAGTAAAAGCAAGAAAGCAAAGCAAGAAAGCATGATACATGTTTGTCAAAGGTCAAGAACAAAGGGAAAAGAATCCGAGTGACTTCCAAAAATTACACCAACTTCTTCTTCTTCTTCCTATCTCTCTCATGTCTATATTTATAATAAAAGCCTAGAGTTCATCATGTTCATCATCTTCCGTTGATTCTGAGTCCGCACCTCCACCGGGGGCGCCACCCGTTCTCTGATAAACAGCCGTTATGATGGGGTTGCAAACAGCTTCTACCTCTTTAAGCTTCTCATCGTAATCCTCTTTCTCTGCCGACTGGTTCTCATCCAGCCACTCCAGAGCCTCTTTTGTTGCTGTTTCAATCTTGTCTTTCTCGTCAGATTCTAGCTTATCGGCTAATTTATCCTTGTCGCTGATTTGGTTCTTCATGTTGTAAACATATGTTTCAAGGGCATTACGAGCATCGATCTTTTCCTTCACCTTTTTGTCTTCCTCTGCAAACTCCTCTGCTTCACGAACCATCCGTTCTATCTCTTCCTGGCTTAATCTCCCCTTCTCATTCGTGATGGTGATCTTTTCTGCCTTCCCGGTTCCCTTGTCTTCAGCCTTCACATTCAAGATACCATTCGCATCTACTTCGAATGTCACTTCAATTTGTGGGGTTCCCCTGTTGAAACCACCAACCAACTCATGTTAATAATCACAAAATGGCAATTTACACAACATCGATCAATTAATTAATGATGAAGACAATAAACAAACCTAGGAGCTGGAGGAATGCCAGAGAGATCAAATTTCCCAAGAAGCCTACAGTCCTTGGTAAGACTCCTTTCACCTTCAAAAACCTGTTAAGCACAAACTGAATTAGCAACTATTTCTAGACTTTACGGTTTTAGGATGAAAACAGCATCCAGAAGTACCTGAATGGAGACTACGGTCTGCTGATCCTGGTATGTGGTAAATACTTGAGATTTCTTGGTTGGAATAACAGTGTTCCTGGGGATCAATTTGGTCATCACCCCTCCCACGGTTTCAATACCAAGGGTAAGTGGAGCCACATCCAAAAGAAGGATATCTGCATAACAATAAAACACACTTGCATTGGTATCGCTTTTTATTGTGAAAGGATCGTCACAAAAATTTGGGAATAAACGGCAACTTGGCTTACCTTTGGTTTCATCACCACCCTCTCCGCTCAAAATACCTCCTTGTACTGCAGCACCGAAAGCCACTGCCTCATCCGGGTTCACACCCTTGTTTGGTTCCTTTCCATCAAAGTAATCCCTTAGAAGTTGTTGAACCTTTGGAATTCTGGTACTTCCACCAACAAGAACAATCTCATCAATCTGGCGTTTCTCCAATCCAGCATCGTCCATGGCCTTCTTCACAGGTCCCATGGTCTTTCTGAACAGATCATTGTTCAGCTCCTCAAATCGAGCTCGAGTCAATGGCTCAGAGAAATCTACACCGTCGAAAAGTGACTCAATCTCGACTCGGACCTGGTGCTGGCTACTCAAAGCCCTCTTGGCTCGCTCAGCTTCCCTTCTCAGCTTTCCAAGAGCTCTGTTGTCCTTGCTGATGTCCTTGCCGTGCTTCTTCTTGATCAATTTTATGAAGTACTCCATGATCCTTTGGTCAAAGTCCTCACCTGGAAGAGGACATAAGTTTAGCAGGCAATAACAAAGGGAAAAACCTCTTAAACCCTTAAATGCAACATCTCCAACCATTCTTATTATAACATATCCAAGAAAAGGTTAAAAAAACAAAATCCTCACCTCCAAGATGGGTGTCTCCGTTTGTGGAGAGAACCTCAAAAACACCATTGTCAATGGTCAAGATACTGACATCAAATGTCCCACCACCAAGGTCAAAAACAAGAATGTTCTTCTCACCGCCTTTCTTATCCAAGCCGTATGCAATAGCAGCAGCTGTAGGTTCATTGATGATTCTAGCAACATTTAAGCCAGCAATTACACCAGCATCCTTGGTAGCCTGCCTTTGGGCATCATTAAAGTATGCTGCAGAATTTAATTGAAAAAATAGATCATTTAATAACATTTGTCAAGGGTATAAAGCTAAACAATGTTTGTAACTCTGTTAGTTGCTTACCAGGAACTGTGACGACTGCATCCTTAATTTTCTTCCCAAGGAATGCTTCAGCTGTCTCCTTCATCTTGATTAGAATCATGGCACTGACCTCCTCGGGACTGAAAACCTTAGTTTCTCCATCCTTAAGTTTGACTTGGATATAAGGTTTTCCATCCTTGTTCACAATTTTGTAAGGAACGAGTTTCATATCCCTCTGGACTTCTTTGTCCTCGAACCTGACATACAAAACTTATATTGTCAATATTGCTAGTCACTCTAATGCCAATATCTACAAACAAACAAATTATGAAGTACGTACTTCCTCCCAATAAGTCTCTTAACATCAAAGATTGTCCTCTCGGCATTTACAGCCGCCTGATTCTTTGCTGCCTCACCAATCAACCTCTCGGAGTCTGTGAAAGCCACCCATGATGGAGTGATACGATTTCCTTGGTCGTTGGCTATAATTTCAACATGACCATTTTTGTAAACACCAACACATGAATAGGTAGTCCCAAGATCAATCCCAATAACTGTTCCCAATTTGTTGGCCTCTTCCTTTGCTATGGAAATTGCAGATAGGCAACCTATAACACATTGAGTTAGTACTTAAGAAATTATTAATCCTTCAACGCCATCCACAATCATAAAGAAGAGGAATTGATTAGAACAAACTGTTTACAGAGCAAAACCTTAAACATAGAACCTCCGTCCTATTCTAACTAGTCATCCATCACGAGAAGTTCCACATAAAATACACCTTGAAACTAATACATGGTTTTGGACACTCAAAACAGGTTACAGGCAGCAACATGACAAAATGTTAAAAGCTAATTGAGTCAAATAACTAGCAAAAAAGCGAAATATTTGGTATAGCAACAAGTAAGGTCTGGAGGAACTATGTTAATCAAAGTCTTGTACATCAGTCACCGTCTACGATAATCTTTATTATCTAGTTACCAGAAGAATTTAGTATGTTTTATAATTGTGGCCAAGAAATTATTCGCTAGTTGTAAAACTAAACCCACTGATCAACAAATAAAAACGCCTTCAAGTTAACCAAGTGTGCATGCCCAAAATCCCCATCACTGTTTGATTTATTTGAAAAAGGTGCCGAATTGCTCGTGTATAGCTCACCAGCGTACAGAAAAAATAAATAAACCGAAAAAAAAAACAGTCAAAATTCCATAGCAGTGGCAAAAGCGTTCGAAGTTAATCTCCATTTCTACGTAAGATCAAGTCTAATACATTCCTAAATGCTTTCACAACAGTGATTCAATAAAAAGTTATACAAACACAGCAGTGATCAGTAAATGTAAACATCAATACTCGTAAAACCCCAGTGTTCTCAGATCTCGAACAAAATCAAAATCAAACGACACTAGATCAACTAATCCATGAAGGAACTAAAGAATAAAACATTAATCAGATCTAGACTAAATTCATGTACAATAACAGAATGACAGCAAAAGTAGATCAGATCTGTAAACAAACTGTAAGCAAGATCGTAAGTAACGCAAATTACCGATTAAGATGATCGCTAGCGCGATGCCAGAGCGACCCATGGCTTCTTCGACCTTCACTCCCTCTGGTTTGTCTCCAAACTCTCTGCTGCGTTTACTGAAATTGTGCAAAAGCGAAGTTGTTTTTTTCAATTTTAGATCGGTGTTGGTCTAACAATATATATATATAACAGCGCGTGAAGCATAGATGCTTATATAGAGCGAGTAGGCTTTGAGCGGATCTATCGCGAAGAGATGATACAGTGCATGTCATCGCTGATGACGTGGACCAATCAAATGTGGGATACTAGTGTTCGAGCCAATAACGATGGATCTCGTGTTAGATCTGACGTGGTGTCCCCTGATTGGTTCCCGCTTCGTCATGTTTTATTTCTTCCTAACTTTATGCCTCTAGACTCTAGAGAGTCGATGGTCGTTATGTCCCAAGTGTTACGATATATTCATGTAATATAATTGCCTTGGAATTCTTGAATTTTTAATCTTTTGTTTTGTTATAAAATATTTAATTTTTAAAAAAAAGTAGGATTGGATTAAAAATAAAAACAGAAAATACAAACATGATTTGTAAAAAAAAGGCATAACAGAAACCAAAAACAAGTTGTAAGACCAAACAATCCTAAAAAAAAAAAGAAAACAAATAATTATTTAGAATGATTTATATCGTGTTTTTTTTGCTGTAATAGAATGGGTTTTGTTTTAAAAAGAAACTTTTTATAAATTTCCATATATACTTATTATTATTGTTACGTGTTGTAGAGTTCTAATAAATACTCGTAGTAAATCTTTATATAAAATAACATTATTTAAATCTTAAAAACGTCTATATTAAGTTGAACAAAGTCAACAAACTGTGGCCCATCATGGGTTTGTGAACGTTCATATCAATAGCAAGGAAAATATTTTTTTGAAAACAAATCTTAGAATTTGTGTAAATTGTAAGTGGTACCAAAGTTTTTGAGCAAAATCTTGCTAGGTAAATTTTAAATCCAAAACTTTGTATCTTAGGGGTTGCTTGGTTCAGTCAAATAAATAAAAATGAATTTATATTTCCCTAGTTTAACCTAAAATTAAAATTTAGGCTTTAAAGAAATGAATCTGTTATATTATATAAAATCAAACAAATTTTTTTTATTCTTATTAATTATTATTTAATACCTCTGGTCAAACTCTCCTTGATTTGTTGGAAAACAATGGAAACAAGGAATCCTCCCTTCCCACAAAGTGAATGGGCCTTGTCAAGATTTTAAGCAACAAGAACCCAAACAAAAAATTTTAAAACCAGCCTTAGCATTCGTTTTTTAAATTAAATTAGAAAGGTACTCGCAATACATTGAGACATATTTTCATTTTAATGTTTCGTTTTATTTTTTATCTATGTCGATATAATACGATTTTATGTGGTTTTGAAAAAACAATATGTTTTTATTTTTGAATAAAATATAAATTTGATAATATCATACAAAATTTACAAAAATAAATATTAGTACCAAATTAACTATTTAAAAGTTTTTGTTTGTTTATTTTTTTTTAATTCAATTTATTTATTATAATTTAATTTAACTTAATTTAATTTAATTTAGATTTAATAATATTTTTTTTATAAAGATAATAATTAAGTATTTTGTTAGAAATCAATAATTATCCTAATTATATTTTAGATTTTTATATATTTTAAAATAAGATGTTTATTCTCTATTTGATTATGTTTATCCGCAGTTAGTTACACGAATTTAAACATAGAGCTTTAATAAGTTGTACTTATATACAATTTACTTGTAATCTTGAATTTTAAGTGATATGCATCAATAAATAGTACTTTATGCATAAAAATAGTTTTTAAGAATTTTTGTCAAATGTTTTATAATATAGTATAGATAATTATTTGTAATTTTAATTATTATGTTTGGTAACATAGAATTATTTTAATTTCAATATACAAACTATCATATGACAATTTTCACCTTCAATCTTATAACAGTTTTAATAAATATAATAGCAAATTACTACACTAAATACACCCCAAAATTCATCACAATTAATTTAATGGTTAATTTTCACCTTGTTTTATTGGTGCAGCCCAATCCTGGTGACCCGGCCCGCTAGCCTGCTAGATTTGTATTAGATTTTCTTTATAAAACATTTTCATATGCTACGGTGCTACTTAATAAAAATTAGACTAAAATACCCTTTGTCGTAGAGCATAAACCCTTTGTCGTCACATGTGTTTTTTCTCATGTAGTTGGATGTTTCTTCTAAGAGAACATTTTAGGCTAGATTTAACTCTTCATAACATAAAAGTTAGATGCGTGTGTGATGAAAATTGTACATTGCTTTCTAACTTGTCGTTTGTAGTTACCTTTCCCTTCCAAATTATACCTCCAATATGAAGAAATTGCATCCATGTGCATGTTCTTATCTTACGATGTCATCTCTTGCTTCACTTATACTACCTAATTACAGTAATATTGTAAATACATCAAGATATTTTAAAATTATCAATTTGTATCGCATCTGATATTTGCTTTTTTTTCCTTCTATGAAATCCTTCTCATTATTCAAAACATACACATTTCAAAATTATTGAGATCGGTTGAGACATAAAAGAAATTACAAATTTCTTGGATAAGAAAATGTACAAAGAAAAGAAAAAATCTTTTTGAAAATTTATCTACTAAATTTATAAGCCCATTTTTTTCGTTCTTTGTGGCCATAGTTGTCGAAACATTTTACTCTCTTTATTCAGGGACGGGCCTATGTAGAGACGAGGAGTGTGCACGTTCCATTGTAGAAATTGCAACATTTTTTTGTTGTCCCAAGTTAACCCTCTTTTTTCTTATAACTGATCATCATTTTGACATACATAACAGTATAACAGTAACTTTTGTTTATAATATTTGATACGTCATATTTTTATGACAATTTCCAAGTCAAATATTTTTCTTATTTTATGTTAAGTTTAACGTTATTTTGGGAAAATAATGGACACGTTAGGGGAATTTACTGTTTTCCTTTACTTTTCATTGCTTTCTAAGTGTCTTATTTATACTGCATACATTGATGACAATGTATGATTTAAGTGTGAGGGTGTCGTATGCATGATTTAGGGGTATGAATTATTTTGGGAAATGTATTTTCAGGGACTAACTTTTTAAAATTTTGATCCATTTTTGGGCAATATGTTAGGTAAGCATACCACGAAAAAACCATAACATAACTGAGCCTTGTGGTTTGTTTTTATAGAGATGAATAACGTGTTTGAGATTTGAGTCATGATTAAAACATTGTGTTTTTAATCTTATTTTCATTCGGTGTACATTGCACCTTCAGTGATCATGATACATGCATGAGTTCTCTTTGAAATTACATTAGGTTATGCTAAATGTGAACATGATAAAAGGTCATCTTTGCAGTTTAAATTTTAACCAATTTAGCTTTATAGCCAACCTTTACGCATACATACTTTCTCTAATTACCTCTTTCAGCCTAATTACCCAATTAGTTGGCACTACACTATAATCCTATAGGCCAAACACTATCACGTTATCCTCACCATACTTTGGGAATACAGTGGTATGTTACTGATTAGATCCTAACGGCACAAGTTGCATAAAAAACCGGCCCCAGGGAGGGAGCCCAACCAAAGGCGATTTTGTTGAGGATGGAGAACGATTCAATTCGATTATCTTCACTTTTTTGTATTCTTTAGGCAAATTATTGTCATTGTTGGTTCATAAATCCAACATCAATTTTTACAATATAGAGTAAAAATTCATTATTTTCTTTATAATCATCAATTTTGTAAGGATCCAACCGTTATTTAATTAATTAAAAAATATAATAATTACAAATGTTTGAAACCAGGTGACTTTTGATTGTAGGCATTTGTTTTGGATCGAAAGAAGTATAACTCACTTTCCCAAATTTTATTAACAATTTATAAGTTACATATTTAAATTTTAATATTGAGTGTGTTGTTGTTATTAATTAATCAAATCAATTAACAGTAATAATCAATTTATGATAGAAAGATCATGAGGAAAACAACTTAGGGTTGTTTATCCAACATTTAAGAGTCAACGTTTTTCACTTAACTTATTGGGTAAGATTTTAGTCCGATAAAATGGTATTGAATAGAACATCTTTATCCGATAAATGTTTACCAGGTAAGAGTTGTCACTTTCACTTATCGAGTAAGACTTTTGGTCCTTATGTATAGAAATATTTTTTTTTAATTGACATCGGTAATCTATGTTAAAACAATCTAATTATATGATTATAGAAAGTACGTCACCAATTTATAATTTTCTTCAAGAAAGTTAAGATGAGAAATATAAGGAGAGATCTCCATCTTTGGATGCACATTAGTATGAGATGCATCGGATCAATCCACGTATCAAGCGCGATTCGTGAATGTGTTTGAGATTAAACGTGATCAAAGGTCCAAATCCTCACCTTAACTTTCCTTCTCACACGACCTTTTACCTTATTCAAGAATACTCTTACTTTTTTTTCATGTATTTTTACATTCTTACCTATATTTTTCTATAAAAATAAGTCCTTTGGTGTATAAAATAATATATAGACATGGGATCATGTGAGACCAAAGGTTTTTCGTGAGATCCGTGAGACCAATTCTCAACCCTTAGATTAGATCTACAATCTGAACATTCATAATCATAAAATTGCCACGAGACTTCTCAATAATTACAAAATTGTCACCATATAACTTTAGATTATTAGATCATTAGCTTATAAAGTTGATCTATTTTTCAATTAAAAAGAAAAAAAATGGCATTTAAAGATACATTTGATGTAATTGGTTAAAAATTAGTTTCATCTTTGTATCTGAAACTACCCACCGTCCATAATCCATACAAGATTACAAGCCAAGGGGAATAACGAAGCAAATTTGTAATTTTGTACATATTTTAAATTCGTCATATGTTCAAAATATGGAATCTATAACAATTATTAGTAGCATGTATGGGTCCAGAGTTATGGAATTTGGTGAAATTGGACTTCCATCCATGGGACCATAAGCTTTATTGTTTTTGAAGTTTTAATGTTTAGTATAAATTAAGGGTGGAATTTCATAAAATTTAAATTCCATTTTAATTTCATGTTTGGT